TTGGAGCAGTTTTCTTGGCCACTTATTGACAGCTATAGCATAGAAGAGCATACATGTGTAGAGATGGTGAAGATGCTCTTAGGCAGAATGGTTTGATTCACATTAATGAACTTTATCTGCACAGCCCCCTGGGGAAAAGGAGTTTATGAACAGCAGAGCCAATATAATGTAAACTCAAAATCAATGCCCTGAATTTAGCATAGATTTCTACTTTGAAAACTATCAGCCAAGGGATTCTTCCAAATAGGGTATGGTTAATAGCCAAGCAATGTTCTGAATAAACTAGAAGCAATTTGCTTGCACCAGCAGCACCATGAGAATGTAAACTCCTGGAGGCCAAGGGTCTCTTCATATTTTGCATATCACAGGTACACAAAAGAGTAAACATGAGACCACAACATTGAAAAGTAGTAACTGCATACCTAGAGACTACAAAAACTTGTAGCACATTTTAGCATTTACAACTATTAACGTGGCTGTTAAGGGTAGTCTTTAAGTAACTGAATTGTTGACATCACTATAATACACAGCGGTGTCCTCATGATCGTGCAGATGACTAAATATTGCTTGGTTATTCCAATGTCTCTAGCACCAACTGATGGCGTAGGACATTTAAAGAGGAGCTATAATCAATTTAATATAATAGCCTTCTCCCTATCCTCTGGAGTTGCCATATAAGAAATATTCAAGAGGCACTATTTTCTTAAATCCACTCCACTTTTAGTTTTTTCCCTGGGAAAACAAGGGAACATAGACCCAATCTTTTCAGGGACCTTCAAGGTGCTAAATGGCCAAAATGAACACAAGGTAAAAGGGAGTAAGAAGTCAGCTTCCATGCCACTATTATATCCTGATGTGAGGTGTGAGATCCCTCAGATCAAGAAACTAGTTTGCTGGGCTCTTATTAAAGAGTCACATGCCAAAGTCCTCAACACATGTACATCAGACAAGGTTTATAAAACCAACATGCTGTCTTTGGCTATTCCCTTCAATCCTTTGCTTTACATCTTTAAATTCTAACTCCCCTAAACTAACCAGAGGCATAAGGAAAATCCAGCTATCCAAGTTCTTGGTTTTTCACACACACACTCTCACACACACACACACACACTTTTCCATTCTTAAAATGCACCCAGAGGATGAAAGGAGAAAAGAAAAGGTGACAGAGCACAAAGTCGCCTATTCTATAAATGCCTGTTGCTGAAAAGAACATCAGAAGCAAAATCCCCACCTGATGGCTTCGGTGGGGCTACATTGGTAGGAGTACATTTGTTTCCTGGTTAACCACTAGAAAAATTTCATTCATTGACTCTACCCCTCTGCTTTAGGAAACAAAAAGGGTCCCTAACCTTTACACTTACACAAAAGTTGCTATTTCTCACACAATGATTTATTCATACACATTCAGCTTTTAAAGTACCTTTTATATGTTCTTTGCCTAAAACATTTCCTTTGGTGCAACTCTGTTCATCATCAGAGCTTCACCAACTCAAGTAGTAATATTTATTCTATTGTACAACTTTGCTAATACAATACAATTTACTATACATGCAAAACTGTTATTGCTACAAAGATTCTACCTCTTGAAAATTATTATTCGTTTTATGGCTTTTATTTTTTATTTGCAATAGGAAATATCCTTTCCTATATACTGTGCTATTTTGCATTCATTACCTTTTCAGAGGTATTTTTAAAAATATTTAAATGCTTTTTGGAAATAGATTCTCCCAGGCACTAAACTACTAGAGCCAAGAGTACAACTGCTTTAAGTACACTCTGAGAATCTAAACCTGGGTCCCTGGATATCTGCTGCTACAGAGTCTATTTGTTTAAGCTTGCTTGTGTACTGGAGACACATCACATTCCTTTTGCATTTCATATCATGGTAACTGTAAAATCTGTATCAAAAAATCCTGAACTCTCCTAATACTGAGACTTAAAAATCACCTCCGAAAACTGCCCTTTCCAAGTTCTCAAGGCAGCTTTTAGAGGTAGGAGTTTCTTTTCCACAGAAAGGTATCTTATGCTTTCAGAACAAAAACATTTATTTTTACAAGCAGAAAAAAGTGAAAGCTGTCTGAGGTGGCTTACTATAACCAAGCAAAAGAGATAGTTATTACATGGCAACCTGCTTAGGCTCCATCTAGCTACACTCCAATTCTTGCGAAAAGGTCTGGAATGCCATCAACACGCAATTCAGACTGTGAAATAGGAAAAGCCTGTGACAAATTAATGTAGGACACTGAACTACTGACCAGTGTTCTTCCATAACAATTAGCATGCCGCAGACAGGAAATGTAAATGGTCTGCAGATTAGAAAAGCACTTGACTAACAGCATCTCAGTAAGACATGCAAAATAAAAAAATAATTTCTTGATGCAAAGGAGTGGATTAAATAATAAACCTACAAGACACACTGTGTGAAAACAGCATAAGAACAATCTCATCTCAAACTGAGAACAAAGCAGAATCATGAAATGGGGCCTCATTTTGATTTGAGGTTTCTTAAGACACAAAGGCAGCTGGTTTCCAGCTACCTCAGAAAAAGCTTAAATATCCTCAAACACAGTATTTCACACTGTAATCCCACAGTTCTATTCATAAATGAGTCTTTTTGGCCTTAATCTCCTTTCCCCAGGGAGAATATCATGATTCTGATATTTATGAAAAAAGAAAAGATCTCGATTTTCCACTCATTTTACACTACTGGTTATTATCAATAATTCATCCTGAAGTTTAAATTATTACTAGGCTCATGCACTAACCCCTAACATGGCACTACAATATGCTACCAAGCACTAACGCTTACAAAACTATACACATCTCAAAATGGAAGACATTGGTGATTTTGTTGTTCTTAAACAACTTGTAACATTTGTCCACAAGTATTAAAATATACATATATATATTTCTATTGCACATATCCCGTTTTTAACTTTTTAAAAGAAAAACTGCCAGCTGACATGGATGAGCAGAGAAGGAAGTAGGCACAGCTACTGATCAAGGTGTAGTCCTGCCTAAAATTACAGCTTTTCCCATCAAGAAGGGGACAAAATAGCCTAGGGGGAAAAATGTAGGCATATTAAGCAAACACTGGGTTAGTACACTGGCACAGACCCATTTTGTTAGATGCTATCTGGTGACAACCATTAAAGATGCAAAGAACAACTTGAACGAGGGCATTCAACAGTGGTTCCTTTAGCTATGAAATAAATACAAAGCAACTGGAGAAGAGGAGTCTGATACATACTCAAACAAATGGGCCAGAGATGGTTTCACTGGTGCTGACGGTATAAAGTCCCTATCCCCTGCCAAATGGTCCTACCCAAAACACTGCAAAAAGGACATGGGGAAGATGGATAACAGACAACTAAAGATATAAATTCTCAACATACCAATGGAACTCAGTCCTGTCTTTAACAATTCCAAAATAGTTAAAGAAAATATCAGGAAGTTGGCTGAGAAGTTACTTACAGAAACATTTAAGTTACCTTTATCCGAAGTTACTTCTATGTTTTACCACTCAGTATTTGCCCTCAAAGGAAATTATATTTGATCTATATTATGTAATTATTTTACTAAAAAGCTTTCTTATGTCAATTCAAATAGGGTGACCAATTTACTAATCATTAAGAGTGCTCAACAATTCTCATTTTTGGCCATTTCTATCACTGCTAAATTTTGGTAAATCTGCCCTAAGTTTTTAGCATCACAGCATGTATGACCCTAGGCAAATTCCCTAAATCACAGATATGATCTAAGACAATTTGTTCTTAATTGCATCTAAGAAGTTTCAAATTCTTTCTCACAAAGACTCATAGCTTCCTTCTTCTTATGTAAAGACCTGACAATTCATACAGTGGTCCTGTTGATTTGGAAGCAAGAACAGCTTTACATTATAGTCTGTTCATCACATGGTATAAGTTTTAAGGAGAAGAAAGATCCATACTTTTATTGAACTATTTTTCTTGTTTTTTTTCCAGACCCCGAATTTCTTCTAAATCAACCACAAATTTGGGAACATTGCTACTGAAGTCCATTCTCTGATCACAGTTTGGTTCCAACCAGGGAAAGTTACCTGAGTCCCAGCCTTTACAACCTAACATTACATCTCACCTAAAAAAATAAACCAAACATCTGAATACCCATCTTGGATCAAAGGAACAAAGTTATTTATGTTTTTAGAAAACTGGGCTACAGAATGTAAGATGCCCTAAAGTTAGATGGAGCTGCATAAGGCATTTTTGCTTCCTTTTCTCAGGAGAAAGGAATTGTCTGCAACTCTTTTGTTTTCCCCATTCCTTCATGCCCAAAGTTGAAGGCAGGTCATACTAGAGGATCTGCCATATTTTCTGAACAGAAAAAACACTTAAGCCACTTGTTCCTGCCTTAGCAGCATGGAAAACCAAGTCTCAAGTGCTATGTTAAGAGTCCACAAAGAAGAATGAAGTAATTTGCAATATAGGAGCCTCTCATCTGAGGGAGGTGAAAAGGGTTCCACCAGTGGACTTGAATCTGTTTTGTTTCCTTTTCCAACCTTTCAGTAAACTCAAGCATGCATTCATAGGGTTAGCAAATGTACAATGTGGTCCTTCCTTAGAAAAATGAAAAATCATTAAAAAATACGAAATGTCCAAAGACTTCTGAGACAGAAGCCAACAAAAGCTTCCTGCTCTATGAGAAAAATCCCTCTTCTCATCCAAACTGTAGATTTACACATGTAAAGATGTGTATTTTACAGAGACTCCGTTAACCTTGCATTCTCTTGTCTTCATGCTTCTTTAGCACATCAAAGGTTTTATTGCAATATTGGATCTTTGTTCTTTTCCAGCAAATGTACTTCAAAGGATGAGTCAGCATTTAGATATTTAATATCTGTGGTTTTTAAGCATCTCTTTCATTTCATATTAGAACACATATTTGGAATTTACTCCTTGCAGATTCAACTGTGCTTATGACAGTGGCTGAAACTGGAAGACATTTAAAAAAAAAAAAAAACCTGATGTCATCCATACTTGCTATTTATTTATTCTTCTTGTTTGGAACAAAAGGTAAAGAATTCACAAACACCAACATCTAAGCACCTTTTTCAAATTAAACATCAGCCTCAGCTTCCAAAATAACTTCTTTATAATTAAGCAAAAAGCAGAACATGCATGTCAGTTGCTTCTTTCTTCCTGGAGAACTTGGCAAGACAAGTGCATCCTAGGAGCTTCTCAATGTTGAATCTGAGAAGTGGAACAAAAAGAAAAGCAGCCTTTTCCGATCCAAATCATGGAGGTAAAATGTGTAGAGAAGAGATATCCACATTTCAAGAACAGGGAAAGTGGCTGGATAAAAGGACTACCTACTCCAGGAGACAACACAGAATACCTGGAAATACAAAATAAATTAAAAACAGGGAGGTTAAGGCAGGTACTTCTGCATAAGCTCATGTTTAAAAATGATATTTAAAAACACATAGAAAGAAAATACATTTTAGATTACACACTGTCTAAAAGAAAATGTCCAACGATAACACCAAATTCAGTATTGTCATCAGAAAAGCAGCAAGTCAAGGGTGCCTGGGTGGCTCAGATGGTTAAGCATCTGCCTTTGGCTCAGGTCATGATCCCAGGGTCCTGGGATCGAGTCCTGCATCGGGCTCCCTGCTCCTTGGGAGCCTGCTTCTCCCTCTGCCTCTCTCTCTCTGTCTCTCATGAATAAATAAATAAA